AACACATACTTAAAGGCATTTGGTCAACCAGGTTCTCTTGAGGATGCAAGAAAAGAGCTGAAAGAAATGGCTCCCCCACCAATGAACTCAATGCTTGACAAAGAATCCAGAGAGAAAGCCTTAGAAAAGAAACTTAGAAGGGATAGTATGGTTGTGAAAGATGTTCCACCAACAACGCCATGTAAGCTGGAGCCTCAATTAAATATTGTAGAGTGTGACACTCAAATTTGCGACCAGTAGTAATGTATTTGCAAACTTTTGTCTGGGCTGTTACACAGTCATCATTGCAGTAATGTGCTATCAAGTGACAAAAGAATGTAAATACATTATAAAAAGTCACAATTTTAAGACTAATGTGGTAAATTAAAAATTCAAGCTAGTRTTGTGTTACTTTTTCCATAGTGTCTGAAGTCCTGGCTGAAGAAAGTAGAAAAAGGAAAAAAGGCCCAACCCTGCTGTAGAGTATGCAAGAAACCTATGAAGGGACATGCAAGAGTTACAGACTGCCCTGTTAATTTAGCAAAGCTTCGTGAAAATTAAACTATTATGTTTTGAAAACCATGTAATAATTTTAAACTAATACAACATATTGGTGGATAGTTGTAGGAAAAAGTGTTCTTTATTTAAACTTATAGGAAAAACATAACATATACTTTAATTATTGTACTGAAATTGTGTAAGTAAAAGGTATTATCATATAATGATTCATAAAATACCTATATTTCTCCTTTTCGAAAAACTGATATTTTCACATGTGAAAATATCGTTACCGTATGTATTTAAGCTATTAGTTTATAAAGAAATACTTTTTGTAATAATAAAAAGCTTGTTAAGTTGATTTTATGGATAATTATATAATAAACAGAATATTACATGGGCGCTTGGAGATACGAAATGTATCTTCTCGCTGCGCTCACTTGTGAGAGATTTTTTCAACACTCGAAGAAAAATTTCGTATCTCCGCGCGCCCATGTAATATCCTCTATTTATTGAGCAAAATATTGACTAGTTTTATTATTGCATGCATCTTTCGTAATACATAGAATGATGATAGTAAAGTCAAACTTTATAACCCAAATTTCTACTTTGAGGTTTGTTTGTTTTTTGCTTTTGTTTTTGTTTTGGAGTAAGTCCTACTTTTAAGTAACTATAAAACTGGGGCCAGCTATAAACAATGAAAGAAACTAGCATGGAACTATTTGACAGGATAAAACCCAAGTGTCATATTGCATGGAAAAATGTGCTATATTTTTTGTCCTGATTCTTGTCTGATTTTAATTTGTGTGTTTGTGTCTTATAGGTGGCCACAGCTTCATAGTTACACTCTCAATACAAAGGGGGAATAATAAATAAATACAGTTCAGCAAATGTCAGTTATTCATCATCCTCGAACCCAGTGAAATCGTTATCTTCCCCTGGAAACATTTTTCGTATGGCGTTATATGCACAAGCTGGCAGTGCATATCTCTTGCCTGACCCCAAATAACCATGAWTAAGCTGGGTAAATTCTCTGTACGCAGTGGCTCGAAGAAATCTATAAAATAAATCAAATTGATAACAGTTATTATTTAAGTTACCAAAATTTGTAGAATAAAAGAGCAGGTGGAGGAAGAAGGATTAATCTGGATAGTGATAAAAGCATTAAATACATGCACGATACTAGTAATGGTATTCGGCAAATGATTTCAGTTTGCTTTACATGAAAACTTACTCGTTTTCTGTGCCTGTTTGACGGTATCTTGTCCTATCGATAGTCCTGTATTTCACAGCGGACGAACGCAATGACCATGTATTTAAACAAACAACTTTCTCTTTCGGGGTTATATTCTTCTAGTCATTCATTATCATCTAATGGTTTACCGTCATAAACTTCTTCGTCAGAATATTTCTGTTCGGGATATCCATGAACGGCTTCGTCTAGTTCTTCATCCTCGAGGTCGTAAATACTCTCATTCTCGTCGCTTGAATCAAAGTATTCATCAGAATTATCAATGGATTCCATCTCACAGCCTTTCTTTGACAACTGGTTAATTCCAAAGATACAAAGAGGCAAATAAAACGACCCAAAACAGGTAAAAACACTGGAAGGAACATCCAAGCTCTACTTTGTTTTACTTATTGGAAGCCAAGTCGTTCTTGTTGTGATGTCATTCGACGCAAACTAGGTACCAGACCTCGCGATCCCGTCCAAATCGGTAGGGCGTGGCAAAACTGCGTACTTTAGGGCGTTATATCTCCGAGAATATTTAGTCAATCGAAAAAATTTTTTTCGTTTATTCATCTCCAACACACAGAAAATCAAAATTGATCATAATCCTATAAAGGTTATAGGCACTTTAAGTTTTAGGCCCGGGTCAGGCACCATACTTCACGSCAGGTTGAACCGAAAAGCATTATTTTTGGGACTGTACGTTCCGCTTTGGGTTCGGCTCATGTGGGGTGCAGCATTTTACCTGGGCCTTAAACAGACATATTTTATATTTTCCTAATTAACGTAAGGAGTTGAATTTCAATTGGGGCTATCGCCCTGTTTTCTTCTCCGGCCGCTCTTCGCTTTGTATGTTGTGCATTTAATTGTATTATGTTTGTGGCAAAATTCCAATAAACTAAGCTAAACATTGAAATGCTCTCCACGGCCATGTTATGATGATAACAAACAATTGTTATCAGTAATTTTAATTTAGTACAACCACACTCCGCTACATAYCTCTAGATTTGTTTATGTAGGTAGCTTTGCCCAAATCAATAAGAACAGGACACGTGCTTTCTTGATTTTCCTGAATATCTATGTTGTTGCCCTTGCTGYCATTATGAAGGATGCCTTGCTTGTGAACGCTTATAGCACTTACTATGTCACACATAACTGGAACAAAGGAATTGATAAATATGTCATAGCATACTTCCATCAACAGTGTACAATTTTGTAGCCAAAATAAAAGGCTTTTTCTTTGTCAAAACACACAATAACATAGCAACATGAGGATGACTTGGAATCTTTGTAAGAATATCTGCTTCTTTGTGAACACCTGTGTAGTTTTGGCATGATTTAAACACCTCCACTGCAATGGGTAGTCGCTTGTTAGTTCCTTGATAACATTCGATAACGGCCGATCCCTCTTGCATTTGTCGTGATATATTTGAAATTCAAAAACGTGTTAAAAACTCACAAAAAAGCACAAACAATCACACGGGGGAACAAATTACTAAATAGACTTTAAGAAGGCAAAGGATGAATAATTTAACTACTATATTCAAACTAAAAAGGTCAAAAATTGATTACCTGAAGACGAAAGTTAACCCAAACATTAGCTTACCTGTGATTTAGGCATGCACAGTTGAAACTTCCGGTCCGAAATTCACGGACCGGACGCCAACTTAAAATCGGTTACAACCAGAGCCTCTCACTTCTCGGTGCTGACCATGAGGAACGTGGGCTCTGGGTACGAGATTGATTCAGAAAGTGATTCAAAAGAAAAGTAACATTAATCTAAATTAAAGCTAATTAAAGCTTTAATCATTGTTAAGAGAAATGTGATTAATAGTGTGTTGTTCATTTGATGCTCAAATTGGGTATGTAGGAACRACCTGTTGACAAACCACAGATTGTTGAAATGTCTAACGACGATCTTAAGAAAAGAGCAAGATATTCACCAAACAAAATGCAAAGCTCGTAATGATCAGCGGTATTACTTGTAAACATGTATGGGCTACCTGAGGTAGGGACTGGAGAACCCGTGTTTTGATCGTGATGAAACTAGGATCTTTGTGCATACAATCCACGCCAATCCTCATCAATAAGTAAACGTCTTTACATGGTGTCAGAAAGAAAAGAACCAAGAAAGCCTCATCTCCATCCCGAACAGTGCATTAGTCAAATTTCTTCAGGAATCGGATATCTAGCGATCAAGAAARGGAAACCCAATCCTTAGTAACACAATTTTGTCTTGAAATTGCCAATTTTACTGTAGTTTGAAATTAAAATAAAAGGCAGCAGCTTTAAGAGGGGTAGTTCGTATATATCACCTTAAGCGTGCAGAATGCGAAAAATCGAAATCGCTGTTTGTCAAAATGTAGGCCTTAGTGAGCTATAACTGTTGTAACTGTTGTTTTACTTCAATCGGATAAATATTAGGAGAACTGCGCACAGAAATCCATTTTTCGGGATCACTTCTAAGAAGCACTGGTGGCGTGCGCTGCTGCTAACGTTGTTCACGTGTAGTACTAAAGCGAAATGTCAAAAGCTAAGAAAAAAAGCAATTTTAAAGGACGTAGTCCTAATGTCGAGCGTTACGAAAGATCGTCGGGGAGGGACGAATACATATATTCTTTCCTCTCAAACAATCTCTCTGCGATTAGCTGCTAAAAACCAAGGCAGATCATTAGATGAGGAAACCCTCCGTCGGTATGAAACCTGCCTCATGGATTTTGAGGATTTTGCCAAGTCCCAAGGCCACAAGGCCACCCGTCCCGTACGTTGTGACGCAATGCTTACTGAAAGTTGTAAAGTCTTTGTAACCAGATGTTACTGACCTTTGTAAAAGGCGATAATGCTAGCGCCCAATCTCTTCTGGGTTTGCCGAATGGAACGCCTGTTGACCACTGCAAATAGTGTATTCCCTAACTTTTTACACAGCCTGTATTGCTGAAATCATCCCAAATAGTTCGTGTTTCTCTCAATAACGCCACAAACTGGAACTACCTAAACTTATTTTCAAACATATTTTGATCGCAGCTATATATATCAAGGTATAGTACTCCATGTTTGTTCAACATTTCCACATTAACTACTGGCTTACAACACAGTACAAGACACGTAATATACTACAGTAACTACTGGCTTACAACACAGTACGAGGCACGTAATATACTACAGTAACTACTGGCTTACAACACAGTACAAGACACGTTATATACTGCAGTAACTACTGGCTTACAACACAGTACAAAACACGTTATATACTACAGTAACTACTGGCTTACACCACAGTACAAGACAAGTTATTTACTGCAGTAACTACTGGCTTACAACACAGCACAAGACACGTCATATACTACAGTAACTACTGGCTTACTACTGTTTATTTGGATTACGAGATGTATTCGTATCTTATTGATACATCGATAGATGCCTAAAGCTCTCTATAAGCAAAAGCAAGATATTTTGAATAAATATTGGGAAGATGGAATGACTTTTATCTCCCAAAAAAAGACAATTGAAAAGGCAGCGAAAGATACGCTTTTAAGCCCAACAAAAGTCAAGGTGGGTAAAAATAATTTTTTTATGATTTCATGATATGTTCAGCCTATGAGAATTAATGGCATCTTACGTTTTTTGTTTTTGTTTTTTTCTATTACTGTATAGCAATGGATCGGCAACGAGAGGAAGCGTTGGGGCCAATCTAGAACAAGGACCTCGACAAGAAAGGCTCAGCCTTCGGTTCCATGCAAAACCCGAAAAACCAGTGCATAACAGACGCTTAAACCTGATTTTTTTAAATCTTCTCGTAAGGGCATTTTGTAACTTCATTTTTATAAGTATAAATTCAGAGTGGAAACTACAACGTTACGGTTTAGGTTGTAAATTCGTTTTATATACATCATCATAAAAATTTCAATTTTTTAATATTTTGTTTAAAAAGCAAAGCATTGGACATCCCCAACACGAAACCGGAATGTCTTGATTTTCAGTCAGATATCAGTGTAAAAGGTGCGGCATAATACGAACAACAAAATCGTGCAACTTGTCGCACAACATCCTTACCACCCCGATTCTTTTTGCGCCATTTTGTTGCAAAGAGTAGAAGCTCTCTTTACTATTCTGTGTACCAAAGAAAACTCTTTGCGTTTGGGGTGGTAAAACGAGCAACATTTGTTCTGCAATTTGCGTATTTTTTTGCTCGTATTACCTTAGCCAAAGGCTATTCATTATACTAGAATTAGGTTTGCAGGTTGTGATAGGAATTAACTAATACACGATTTTTGACCACTAGTGGGCAAGTCAATAGGGCAGGAGGATGGCAAAAGTGGACTGCAGCAGACGGCAAACGCCATGTGGAAAACGTTGGGCGCCGGGGAAATGGAAGTGTATACCCAAAGAGCAGAGGAAGCTAACAAAAATCCGGCTGTGCGAAAGAAGGAGTCGCGCTCTAAACGAGTAAAATGACTCTCGATCTCTATAGCGCTTAACAACTAGGAAATAATAATAATAATAAATATATACAAATAAAATTTCAATAAAAAAAATAAAAAAAAGAAGTTGAAAAATTATAAACTATAATTAATAGCATATTACATATAAAATGTTCAGTTTTTAAAGTGATCAAAATTAGTACGTTTTAATTTCTCTTGGTAAAGTGTTCCATAGAGTGGCTCCCGCAAATGCAAAAGATCTTCCACGAAAGGTCTTGTGTTTGATTTTGGGTACTATAAGATCGTTATTTCCATCAGCTCTCGTTCCTTTTATGGGTCTTTTTTTCATCATCTCCTCTAGGTACGATGGTCCAAGACCACTTATTGACTTGTAGGTTAAGGTATCAGGGTACCCCTAGCGACCATTGTGCATTCAACTCCTAATAGCACAAAACCTTTTAATCGAAACCTCAACAAAGTATACATTTTCTGTATTTTTGTAATATTTGATATAATTATTTCTTTCTTCTATACTTTAACTCTTTTTTATTCCCTATATTTTATTTAATTCCTACAATACTTTGTTAACTATTCTTTCTATTAAGAACACTACCTGACTACATTCTGCAAATGTTTTTACAAGCCTACTAGCTACCTCGATTAACCTTTGGTTACTGTAGCTAGTATGGCACCTTAACAGATGTCATATTTGTATTTTATGTTAAGTTAAACAATTGTAAATAAGGTGCTAAATAAAGATTTGATTGACTGATTGAAAATCATATAAAGATACTCTTCGTGGGCGCTCACGTGATCAATTTTCTGTAATATGATTCCTGGTTACCATACTGGTGTACAGCTTTGAGTAGAACGAAGACGTGTGTGAACCTTGCGAATCATCATTTTTACTCTATTTTCAATGGTTTTGTGTATTATTGTTGGTTGTTCGGCTAGATCTGGTCGAGACAAAGATTTTTCCTTCTTTCGAGTGCCTTGTGTGGTCACAAATAGAGGAGAATTAGAAGAGGAGCTTTCTCGAGAACGCCGAACACGCTGGATATCCGCCATAAGTCGGGATAACTTGACGGAAAAAATCCTAGATTCCCAACGTGTTTGTAGCCGACATTTTGTTTCTGGCAAAGCTGCTAGTCTATGGGATAGACATAATGTTGACTGGGTGCCCACTTTAAACTTGGGACACTCAAAAACTGCTTCRAACGCTTTGAGCGCCGAAGCGACGAAAGCAAGAGCAGATCGTGCGAATGAAAGAAGGAAGCGAAGCTTAGAATGGCAGGCTATGGAAGTCGCCGAAAAAGTTAAAAGAATTAATGAACCAGGACTTTGTGTTTCAAATATTGACTTTGAGACGGTAGATTTAACAGAATCTGTCGAAGGAATTGAGCAAGACGGTAACGAAGCAGCCTCTGATTCACCAGCAAACTGTACAGATGACATTTTAGCATCAGCTGCACAATCACTAAAACTAGTTGATAAAGCGTCCCAAACAGAGGAGTTTGAGTACCTTTTCGAACAGAGACGACCCAAATGTTTCAGCGAAAGGTACTTTCTCGAATCTGATGATTGTGACGAAAGAGTTAGATTCTACACAGGTTTGCCTTGCTTCTCTATTTTAAAGAAAACATTCCACCATGTCTCACCCCATGTGACATACAAGAGCAAAAGGCTCAGTCAGTTTCAAGAGTTTGTGCTGGTCCTGATAAGACTCAGACTGAATGTGTTTATGCAAGACCTGGCATATCGGTTTGAAGTATCTAGGAGAACTGTGAATAGAATATTTCATGCCTGGATGATAATCATGGATGAGAGGCTTTCCCCTCTTATCTACTGGCCAGACAGAGAAGCCTTGCAAAGCACTATGCCTCAGTGCGAAAGAGGGCAACATGCATYATTGATTGCTATGAAGTATTCATTAACAAGCCAAGCAATTACCTGGCCAGAGCACAAACATTCTCTAACTACAAGCACCATAACACCATAAAAGTGCTCATTGGCATTACCCCTCAGGGTACAGTGTCATTTGTCTCTTAAGCATTTCAGGCAAAATMCATGTGTACTAAAACTTGGTAAGGATTGGTAGACATGTTTCCCAGTGATTTGTGTCTTGAACAATCCTCTCTTGAACAAAGGCGCCTTGCTTTTCATCATTTACAGCATAGACAACAAAATCACAATACTTTCTATTCACCGTAAACAGCTGCTGTTGAATTTGATAGTAGTAATTGTGGTTTCTCTTTAACTTCAATGTCCCATCAACTTTCTCTAGACATGATGACTTAGTTAAAGCATAGTCATCAAAGTTATGGCCCTCGATAGATATGGGGCACTTGATTTCCCCACACCCTTCTCCACAGCAAGAGCATGAGCAGAGGAAATCAGGGGTTGCATGCAGAAATTGGTGCTCTTCATTGATGACTAGGCCACACTGAGTTATCTTAAAATCTTTGTGGTGCTTTTCCATTTCGTTTTCGTAATGTAGCAAAGCCTCCTTTTCATAAGTGCAACCATGAATAACAGCTTCATTTGAGATCTTGAATAAATCAGGGTAACATGTTGATTTAATTAATGATTGCGAGGGTGAGTGAGGGTTGGTCTTGCATGCCGCTCCACTTTGAGAAGCACCTATTCGTCCTGCTCTGTGACGGAAGAAGCCCCTGCATTTTGCTTGCTTGACAGTGTCCATTTCGATTTGGTTGATTTCTTGCTTAGTTAGATTGAGCTTTACATTATTACAGGCAGTGAGTAAATCAGGGTAATTATAATCAAGATACTTTTTGTCGAACAGTTTTGTAATTGTTTCAATGTTAGCACTTGCAGTTATAAAGGAAGCAGAGAAGGGTTTAATCAATGACAGGATCGCAGGTTTAATTTCACATTTACTAAGTTCTATGTAGAACTCATTCATTGCAGATGCAGTAGGAATTACTCTTTTCACTGCTGACTTTGAGTCACTTTTAAGCTGATTCTTTGACTCCTCGTGACCAAGCTTTTCAATCTTTTCATCAAGCTCTCTTTTCAGCTTTTCAGCTGATGAAAAGTTTGTCCTCAACTCTTTCATAACTGACTTCCTTCACGAAGGTCGGAAGAATCCATGTACATTTCACTTGCGTGCAAGCTAGTTTGCCATGTATGCGTATATATGCTTCAATATAAAATAATATGCAAGCGACATGGGAGCATACCTCACACAGACCAGCTTTACACCCAAGGCAGTGTGAAGACAATATAGCTCCATCTTTTCCAGCTATAATCCAGATGTTTACGAGGGGATCGTTCATCCTTTGAGAGTGTCTAACTTTGGCGAGCACAACAAATTTATCAGCCACAATACAACCTTGAACGCCAGTAACAAAGCCACACACCATTTGGTTATATGCCTCAAGGCTTTTAAAAGCTTTAAATTGATCTTTAGTGTAAAAACTTGTGGTTAGAACTAAGTAGCTGACCAAATCCATCGATTCAATTGGAGGAAGACACTCCGCGTTACACTGCACGCTCGGTAT